GGAGATAGAGGATGATGCCCTGCCCATGTGGGACATAGCCCACGTAGAGAACTCCGAGACCTCCTCACCCGGGTGCGCAACCTCCTGCGAGAAAGACGGGAAGATGGTGAGAAATAAAGCAGAATTGAGCGTCAAAATAAAAGAAAGAAATCACTTACGTATGCTTGTTTATATCCAGGGAGGCTACGGCTGCCTTGATGGTGAGTTGGACCTTGCCTCATCAGACGCTGTTCCCGCTGCCTCTCGTGCGTGTCAACAAAGTCCTATGATAACCACTTGTCCACGATCATGGCCCAGCACTCGGGATACGATCGGCACCACTAGGGAATCATCTACAAGTCATCGAGTATTTGACATATAAGAAGATGAAATTGAACCTACTTAATATCAAAATGAATCATTATGAATGTTATTCGCGCCTACAAAGAGTCTTGGTCCCGGTCAACAGAATCCGTCTTACTTGTGGCTTGGGAGGGACCGCCTAAGTACCGACCTGTAGTAGTCTATGTGGGCCCAGGACGCGCCATGGTGGTGGTGCATCTTGGTGACGTACTTCCTACAAGTCATGGCAGCCTTTCGATCCGCTTTGGGCCTCAAGTCCTTCTTGACGTTGAAATATTTCACGCATACAAAACCGATGTATCCATTCATTATTTCAATAAAAGATTTAACCAATGAATGCGATGTATTAAGCAATGTTGTGTGAGAGAGACTTACCCAAAACTCCTCTAATACTCGCTCACCTTGTTGCGGTAAGTGTCATCCATGACCAGCGTACTGTCCCAGCTTGAGGCCGGCTCCTTTTACCGGCTCTTGGACAGTTGCACAATGCCGGGTACCATTTCTGCACAAAACACCAAGGATGTTCATGGTGTGCGTCTTTGGAGTACCCGACAAAACCAACCAGGCCCTGCACAAGTGATTAAGAAAATTTATCATTTTCTCTTAAGATTTCCAACATATCTTATGAAGTAGTTGTGATAACATCCATAGTTACTTACCTCTTTGCCATAGGCCGAATCACTGGGCGGTTGTAAGGAAGCGGAACCGGAGGGAGGCTCACGGGACCTCGCTTGTAGAGAGTCCGGGTAGCGGTACCCTCTCCCTCGCCCTCGAGCGCCTCGCCTCCCTCGCCCTCGAGCGCCTCACCTCCCTCGCCCTCGAGCGCCTCGTCTCCCTCGCCCATCTGCTGACCCCTCTCGTCCTCCGACGAGGACGAGGCCATGGCCATCACGTGCTCCTCCTCTAGCACCTCGTCACGTGTCGAGGGAGGAGACCGCTGCCTCCTGCGGCGACTGCCCCTGGTCCTCCTCTCGTCACCTCCTGAGGACGCTGCCCCGGACGACGACCCCTCACCTCGAAGGAGAGGGCGGTCTCTCCCGTAAACCGAGGGCATGTCACGACGTGGACGTCTGCTCGCCATCTTTGTCCAATCATCTGCAATCACAAAGAATGAACAAGACTAATTAGTACATATATTAGAAATAGATTCAAAATATATAAACAAAACACAAATTAAAAAACCATAGTATTACATGTATTAGGAATAATCTTCATGATTGGGATCATAGGTCTCATCATCACTGTCAAAATTGTCCAAATGGGCAACACTATCCGAAGGTTCTATGTTGTCATCGTCGTCATTGCCTAGAAGTAATCGCTCAAGCATTGCTATGTCCTTGGCATTTACCACCACATCTCCATTGACCTCGTCGTCAACCGTTTCGTTGTCTACTTCCATTTTGATTGCTTCGGGTAAGACTATCTCAAACGTGCCTGGTCACCCATCTTCTTGATAGAACTGTTCATCATATGTGTTTGCGTTGAAGTTGTAATCATCATCGTTTGGGACAGGTAGTTTACCATGTGGAGATACCTGGTGCACAATAGCCCAACCCTTAAGATCCTCTTTGTCTTGGTTGGCGTATCGAGTATAATACACCTGCACGGCCTGTTGAGCCACAATGTAGACATCTTTTCCAAGATAGATGGAATCTTCTCGAATCTCGACTAGCCCAAGATGAGGGGTTCGTCTCGTTGATCGAGGATTAAAACAGTGGCATTTGAACATGACAGGTTTAAGAGGTTCGTCTCCATGAAATGAGAGTTCATAGATTTCCTCAACTCTACCATGATAGTCGAAGCCATCAGTGCCGAGCGTACAAACTCCGCTATTTGTGGTTTTTCGTTTGGGCCGAATCTGCTCGTAACTTGTTGTGTGGAAGCGATATCCGTTCACGTCATAGCCGGTAAATGACTTCACCCTAACGTCATAGCTGTTTGCAACCTGTTTCAACTCATCACTCATGGACGAATCGGTTTGGGCCTACAAGGTGAATCATGATAGATCGTTATATTAATCAAACGTACGATCACCTTGGACGATCGAACGTACGAGCTAAATTGGACATTACCTTTTGTTTGAACCAAGAAATGAAATCAGGCCTCCCCGCTCCCGCACCCCGCGAAACAAGGGTGTCTTGTTCATGCGAGGTAGGATCCCTTGATTGATGCCAGAATTCACGAACAAATTCCCTGTCCGAACGAGAATCAATGGGGTTGGATGCAGAATAGTGACGGCATATTGAAATAAGTTCGTTGAGAACTTACTTGATGAACGAGTGCACCTCGGTAAGGTTGTTCAACACATATAGCATGATATTGCGCCACTCTTCATTTCCCAATAGCTTTGGGGTTGATCCACTTGCGCTGCCGAGTTGGCCTTGGAAAAGCTCAGGGTCGATTCATTTTCGCCAGTATTGTAATGAGGGGGTGGATTATGATTGCTAGGAAGGTTCGGCTTGTAGTATAGCGTTGTGAAGTTTGCCACCTCCTCCCGAAGGCATGCCTCTGCAATGGAAGCCTCAATTCTGGCTTTATTTGTACATTTTTTGCGAAGAGTCTTTAGACTTCTCTTGATTGGATAGCACCAACGGGCCCCCCAAACGTGCCTCGGACGGGAGGTGCACAATCATATGTTGCATCGGCAAGAAGAAGCCAGATGGAAAGATCTTCTCCAGCTTACAGAGCAACACAGGTGCCGCTTTTTCTATGTCCTGAGCGATGGTCCGAGATATCTCCTTGGCACAAAGCTGGCGGAAGAAAAAGCTCAACTCTGCCAGCACTTTCCAGACATGCTCAGGGACATAGCCTCGGACCATCGCCGGAAGAAGCCGCTCGATCCATATGTGGTAGTCATGACTCTTCATCCTATTGACTCGCAGAGTGCCTAAGTTCACTCCCCTGCTAAGATTCGCTGCATATCCATCTGGAAACATTAACATCTGGATCCATTTTAGTACCTCCCTCCTTTGATCGATTTGCAAGACGAAATTGACCTTAGGTCTTTTCCAGTTCTTGTTTCGGTCACTAGGAGGCTGCATCGCTTGATTAGGCCTTCTCAATTTTTTACCACAGCCTACACATGCGATAACATGACATCTCGCCAAGTTTCGTGATTTTCGGACTTCGTATGGATTTTATATAATTTTAAAACACTTTTTCGGCAAGTCGGTCGTCATGTTACGCGAAGAAGATGCGCGAAATTTGATGCGAGTTCGTGGATAGGGACTCAACATGCACCAATTAACATGAATAACATTTTTCGAAACACTACATTGCAATATTCCATGCACCTGCAGTTCAAATTTGACATATTCAAAAAAAATCAAAGAATCGAAATAAATTAAGGAAATACACAAAAAAAGTCAAAATTGGCCTAAATTTTAAAATTGAGTTCAAAATAATGTATTGTAGCACCACAAAAAAACTGGGCTAAAAAAACCAAAAAAAAAATTGTCGAGGGCCTGGCCCGTGGCCCTCGGCAAAGAATTTAAAAAAAATAAAAAATCTTTGCCGAGGGCCTATCCTGGCCCTCGGCAAAGGGCTTCTTTGCCGAGGGCCTCGCCTCGGGCCCTCGGCAAAGACGATTTATAAAAAAAAAATTGGTCGAAAAACTGGTTAAAAAAAATCTTTGCCGAGGGCCTGGTCTAGGGCTCTCGGCAAAGACTTTTAAAAAAAAATTGCCGAAAAACTGGTTTCACAGAAAAAAAAACCTTTGCCGAGGGCCTAACGGGTGGCCCTCGGCAAAGCTTGACGGGAATGGCCGCCGTGACCCAACGGGCCTAATTTGCCGAGGGCCGCGGCCCTCGGCAAAGATTTGATTTGCCGTGGGCCTGTCTTTGCCGAGGGCCGTACCCTCGGCAAAGGCCTCTTTGCCGAGGGCCGTTCATTGCCGAGGGCTCCTGTGGCTGGCCCTCGGCAAAGAGTATCTTTGCCGAGTGCCCGAGATTTGGCCCTCGGCAAAGCCTCAGGCCCTCGACAAAGCACGCGTTTCCAGTAGTGAAGGGGAAGACAGCCGACGACGAGCTGGATCCACGGCGATTGAAGGACGCCGATGCATCTGCCTTGACCTTGCCCTTCTGCCCCGCCGCCGCCACCGTGCTTGGGCTATTCCGCCCCAAATCTGCAGATGCGCCGATGTCCTCCATCTCGTGGGTAGGGATGACAGCCGGGGAGAAGTTAGGATTATATGCTAACAGTGGTGGATTTGGCGTGAAAAATCCATTTCGCGTGCTCCCTCCGCTTCCTCCGTGCGCACCCACACTGAATCGCCGTGCTCGTCGACTCGAGGAGTAGTCGGACCTAAACAACACGCCTCCAACTGCGAGGAAGTCTTGGAGCACGTGCGCTCATCGTCGCCTCGCGAGGCGAAAAGGAGAGCTTCTCTCCTCATTGAATACAGTGGAGCAGGGTTATTTTTGTAAAAGTAGCAAGACAGAGATGGGGTATACAGACGCATTGTACATGCCCTAATTAACTTATTTAGAGATACACATATAGATACCATTTTCTATATAACTAGCCAAACTCAGAGTTTGACTCCACGAGAAGCGTAATGTGCGTTTGTTTTGGGACGGAGGGAGTAACATCTTGAAATTTAAAGGCGCTTTGCGAAGGCTTTTTTCTATTCAAGTTCTTTGCAACAGAGTAGAGGTTAATTACCTGCGGTAACCATTCACATCTGCTTGCATGGCCCAAATTGGGCACTCCTCATCTCGATTCGTGATCATATGGAACTGACTTTCGCCTCCACTGTAGATGCCTCCGTCGCCTCCACTCCATAACCCTGGGTGGAACATGCTTGGCGGCGTCGTCATTGTCACCGGCACAGCAACTGGCGGCCCCTGCTGCTGATCAATAGCGTGCGAGAATACTGGGAGCCTGTGCATCTGCGAAGACTGCGATAGCGTTCCCCACAGCTGCTCCATCTTCGACTCCGATACAGCCCTCCCACCGGCCGAGTCCACCAACAGATTAGCAGCCCCGGGCCACGAAAATTTCGAGCCAACATTCGGGGTGTCCATGCTGGCGAGCCCGTACAACTGTGGCAGGAGCGGCGACGCGCTGCTGCTCGCCGTAGCTTGTTGTGGAGTGGGCGCGAGCGGGACGACATTTGTGGTGCACGACGAAGTCATCACCAGTGCTGCTGATGATGCCGATGCAGCAGTGGCTGCAGCACTGGGCTTGCTGCCCTTGGCGGCGTCTGTACGGAGCGCCGACGGGGACGTCGCGGAGGGCGCCGCCGCGCGTCCAGTAGCGATGGCAGTTACGGCAGAAGTGGCGCGGTTGTGCGAAGGAGTAGTTGTTGAAGTAGCAAAACTCGGTGCTGGTGGAGTCACAGCGCGGGCACCTGAGCCCTGCCTCTGGCTTTGGGATCCTCAGCAGCTTGGCGCGCTCAGACATGGACCTCGGTTGGGCGTTGGCTCGCGCTGCTGGGGCGCTACCATCGCGGCTTCCACCTCCTTCGTAAAGCGCTTCTGCGGCCATGGCTTGTCTATACTGGAGAAGATTGCCTTCACCAGCAACAACAGCTGATGCAGAAGGAATATTAATGTTACTAGTACTAGTTGCCTGCTGCAGCTGCAAAAAAATTTAAGATAATGAAACATGAATCAAGAGAACGATTTATATAGTATATTCCAAGATATAAATGATTTAGTTCGTCTACGATATATATCAGCAAGGGGAACTATATGTATCTACATAATAGTGGTGCCATACATAAATTACCTTCTGGTTGCTATTCCAGCTTGTGGAAACTAGGAAGACTGGGGGGAAGATCATATTTGTGAACTTAAGTAACTCTAACAAGCCACTTGTTTTGTGTGTTTGGGTCACTTGACTCCACGGAGTGATTGATTTATATATAGCAACTTCGAAGGGAACAGAAATGGAATCGCACTAGAGTGAAAGAGACTTGCATCTTGTCTATACGTACTCTCTAGCTATGATCTATATCTTAGTCAAATCCAACGATCTATATCTTACTCAAGTCACACCAACTCACAGACCTATTTGTTTTGGGTTGTAGATTGCGAAAGCGGTCTATAGATTCTAACAATCCATAAGCTCGGGAGCAGATTCTTAGATTTAATAATCTAACAATTTGAGGTGAGAAACTGCTTATTTGTTTCTGCTTGTAATTGTGAAAGATACAATCCACATCCCTTAAGCACACATGGCTTTAATCTATTTTTAATGGGTGGTATCATGCTTATTAACTCATCTACTACGCATTGAAGTTTTGCTGGCCTAGTATGATACAATGAGATCATAGAACATATATAGTTATCTTGCACTAGATATCGCTTGGGCTCCAGCTGATATTACAATAGGTTGTATCATAGGACATAATCTCTCACAGTATTTACGACAATTAGTTGTCTTAGATAGATATATCATAGAAAGTAAAATTATGATACTGTAAATTGCAGTGGTTGTATCTAATTGATGCCTCACTGATGTGTCAGCTATAGAAATACAATACTATACTATATACTCCTACTTCCATTTAGAACATTGATTCGGTCTACAACACACGTTTTTTACCAAAAATGACATGGTTTTTTATTAAAAAAGAAATAGATATACAAATTTGAGTTGAAGAGAGCACGAACCGTGTGGTAGTTGGAACGCAAGATCACTCCTCCTTTGGTTCATCTACGGAGTATGTAGCGCGTGACATCCATGTTTAAATCAATAATTCTAATCACGTTCACAACACAACTGTATTCAAACAGGTATCCTGTCACATGAACATGTTTGCACTCATACCAAATGCTACTAAAACTTGGAAGGTCACATCACCCATCCAATTGATTTAGCCAACCAAGCTGATCCTCATTTATACACTTATACAGTTAAGCCTCCTTTGGTTCATTGGAAAAATGGAGAAAAAAGTAGGATTGAAAGCACTATAGGAATTTCTACTGTTCATTACTTTGGTTCATAGGTAGGGGCGTCGAAGTAGCATAGGAAATGGTGGTTCTTGCATGTGGGGCCCAATTGTCGGATGATTATAGAAGAGATTTTAGCCATGTTTGACCAAGCAGTGAAAATGGACAACTTAATCGTGGCTTAAAAATTCTCTAGGATTTCTACGTTTTTCTTATCCAAACAATCGTTTCTTAAAAAATCTTATATTTTACATTTCTATTTTTTTTTGCAACTGTACTCATACAGAATTGTTATACTTTTCTCTATACCTCAATTTTCGCATTCGTATGGTTCAAAAGGCCCTTATACTCCTGCTGCACTGGGTCCTCTTCTAGAAAAAAAAAAGACACATCTCAATTATAGAATTGCCTCGTAGACCCAGGCGGTGAGGAGCGGACAAGCTTCCCTATGCACCAAGTGTGGCCAGCTGCTAACTGTTTTCGATGGACCTCATTTATGAAAGTAACATATATATGCATGCACCTAGCTAGCCAGCCAAGAGATCAAATGCACCAGGGTGGGTTCTTCCTCCAAATGTGTCAAAAGCAAAATTTATTTTAATTCTAGAACTCATCCCATGGAGTGAAAAATTATTTTATGTTTCGTATGGATTCCGTACCTTGTTACTCAAATCTGTACTTTTACTAGGATTTTTAAATTTTTTACTAAATTGAACTTTCAAAAATTGTGATGATGCTGAGGCGCACTAACTTTACATTTTCAATAAAACATTTCTTGTTGTCGGAAAAAACAATGAAATATCCTTGCCACATATATGCGTAGGAAAAATAAAAAGACATGATACGTAATCTACCACACAGTATCCGGACTTGGAATTATGCATCACTAGTTTATCATCATGTTCTTAGAAAACAAAAGCATTAGAAGTTTGTGTTTAGTACCTATAACTAAAAAAAATAGTTATCATTGTGCCCTCTTTTTTGTTTATTTTCTAACACAGTACATATAGATGCTTTGGAATATCTATCCGGTTGTGATAAACTTACATGCTATCTGATTCGCTAGCTAGGACGACACTAGGGACAATAGTACCTAACAATAACCGTCCATCTCAAAATGCGCGTGGTGCTGGACCTATAACCCTATATTATTATAGTTAAGCCAGAATGCATTTTGTAATTCATAGATGAAATTGTGGATAAAATATAAAGTTTTATTTATAGACAAAGTTGAGTTGAAGATGACCCTGTGTGCAGGGTATGGCAGGGTACGGTCCTCGGCATTGCGGTTGACTTGAGCGCCATACCTTATATGCTTCGCCTGATCCTCGGGCCCTTACTGAGGGGGCGTCCCCTGTCAGTCATTCCCGATCGGCTCGCACCGTATCGGTCGGAGAAGAGCTGCAAGCAGAGGTTCGGCGTATTCCTGGTCGGAAAAGGAGGTCGGAGTCGGACTATGTCCCCTCCTTAACTAGGCCTTCCGGTTGGAGACCAGTTGTTCTCCTGGACAGTCGTTAGGTAACTAGGCTGGCCCGAGAGGCACGCGTTGTCGATACGCTGCCTGCTGGGCCGAGTTTTTACTGAGAAGCGGGCCCATTGGGGACCCCGGGTTTATGAACCCGATAGGAGCCCCCGAACCCTTTTGGGACTTCTGCGAAGTCATGAAGGGGTTGTTTTACACTCATTTTACGAGCGCACCTGGTGGGCGTAAGATCGTGCGTTGCCCTCGGGCGAGACGACGCGCCAACCCGAAGCGTCGGGCGAGCTGTCTCATGAGTCGGGTGTGCCAACCCAGGCGGCGGGCGAGACGGAGCGCGAACCCGGACATCGGACGTGGCTGAGGTGTCGGGCGAAATGGAGCGCCAACCCAAGCGTCGAGCGTGGCCGAGGGGTCGGGCGAGACGGAGCACCAACCTAGGCGTCGGGCGCGGCCGAGGGATCGGGCGAGACAAAGAGCCAACCCAAACGTCGGGCGCGGCTGAGGGGTCGGGCGAGACGAAGCGCCAACCCAGGCGTCGGGTGCGGCCGAGGGGTCGGGCGAGACAGAGCACCAACCCAGGCGTCGGGCGCGGCCGAGGGGTCGGGCGAGACGAAGCGCCAACCCAAGCGTCGGGCGCGGCTGAGGGGTCCGTTTAGTTTCGTGCGTTACCCCGTCCACGGTTTCCGCAATCGGAGGGGTTGAGCTAATGTTGCTTGCCTCGATGGCTCGAGTCACGCGCTCGGTGAGCTTAATAAGGGGTACGTCCGAGTGGAATCCAGGTCTGTTGATCGTAATGGGGTTGGCATAGCCCTCATGTGGCATTCCATTGCTCCTTAACCCGCCTCCCGACAGATGCCCAAGCCATTCTGGAGACCGACTCAGGTGGCCCACTGGCCTCCCCTCAATGGAGATTCTGTGGGCATGGCTCGAGGTTAGGATTAAACGAGAACATCGAGATGACCCTGTCTGCTTCTGGGCAGATCTTGTGAGGGCCACTGGGTCTCATCTGTGTTTTCTCCCCTAGCTCTGTTTGACATGAGGTGGCCCCGAGCCCTTCGCGGGCCGACCTTCGAACCTCAGTCGGTCATCGCTCATATCTTATGAGGCGACTGCCGCTTCGTGATGCAGCACGATGCGTTGTGATGCAACAACTGCATATGCAATGCTTGGATGTATGGGATGAATGTATGGATGAATGTATGAATGCATGCATGAGAATGGATGAATGATTATTCATTAGAAAACAAAAAAGGGTTTTGGTAAGGTTACAACGATGGCTCGAGTGACGGGTCTGGGGAGCTCCTATCAGATATGTCCGAATGAGATCTGTGTCCGTCGTTCGTGATGGGTTCGGCATAACCTGCATGAGGCATCCCGCTGCTCCTTACCTATCTCTGGGCAGCCACCTGAGCCATCCGATCGGCTCAAGTGACCCATTGGTCTCTCCTCGATGGAGATTCCATTGGTGGGCCCTTCCAAATCGTTCCTAGGAAGGCGGAGGATCATTTGCGTG